CTCTCCTCTCTGAAATCAATTATATATTATATAGAGTAATATGCAAATTAACCAACACTCCGCTACACCCACCCGCCACGCCCACCCAAAGGGGGGGCAGGTAGGGTGGGCGAGGCAGGGCACTCAGCAGTGGCTGCCCCCTAGGCTGCCCGAGTTGACCGCTGTGCTGTCCCGCTGACAGCGACAGTGCACCAGCGTCTCCCAGTGACTGGCGCACAGCAAAAGTGACTCATTGTGGGGAATTACGCAAGAACTGAAGAACTTCAGGGTTTTTTTTTTTTTTTTCTTAAATTAAGAAAGTTTTTTTTCCAGTTTTTTAGAGTTAAGAAAGTCGCGATAGCAGGAAAGCGGCCTGCAGTCGTCCCTGGGTTACCAACGCGAGAGATGTCCCTGTCCCGTCCACGCCCCACACGCCGGGCCTGGGGCTCCCACTTCCCAAGAAGCCCCAGAGCTGCAAGGTGCGGGGGGGGGGGGAGCGGTAAAGGGGGACCCGAGGAGGGGGCGCCACCGGAGGCCGCGGGCCAGGGAGGAGGCCTTTGTCCATGCGGAGGGGTCCAAGTCCCCGCTGGTTTCCGGCTCCCTTCCCGCCGGGAAGGCTGACTCCCAGCTGTGCAGACCCGGCAGCCGCGGAGACCGAGGGATTGAGGAGGGCTGGGCTGGTCCCGGCATCCGCCGGCGGCGGCAGGGTTCCCCAACCCCCTCGTGGGCTTCCCCTCTGGTCCCCCACTCCGGCCCGCAGGTTAATCTGCTCCTTCCCCCGCAGATTTCATCCCCGAACCCCCCGAACTCACCGGGAGGCGCGCCCCGGGCGCCGTGCGGCGGCAGAATCCAGAGCAGAATCCAGAGCAGAACCCAGAGCAAGGCGGGGCTGCGCTTGGTGCCCACCATGGCGATTAGAAGCCCAGATGGCGACCTACGGGTGGTGCGGTCCGACTGGGTCCGAGGATGAACTGATTGTGTGAGGAAGTTTGTCTCGGTGGCTCCTGCAAGTGGCCACACCTGCCGCTGAGCTCTCTACCGCCGCTGTGCTCTCTACCGCCCCGCTGTGAAAGGGGCGGTGCTGGTGCCAGGACGGTGCCGCGAGAATCGGTCTGCTCCTCCCACCTATTACGTAAGGTCATAATTCTTTTAACATTTTCTCCCCCCTGCCAGTGGATAGAGCGTCAGCCTGCGGACTGAAAGGTCCCGGGTTTGGCTCAGTGGATAGAGCGTCGGCCTGTGGACTGAAAGGTCCCAGGTTTAATTCTGGTCAAGGGCATGTACCTGGTTGCCGGAACATCCGCAGTAGCGGGTGTGCAAGAGGCAGCTGATTGATGATTCTCTCTCATCGATGTTTCTCTCTATCCCTCTTTCTTCCTCTATGTAAAATATCAATAAAATATTTTTTAAAAAAAACAAAAAACAAAAAACATTTTCACCCTCCCCACCCCCCAACCCCAGGCCTTCTTCACTTCCCCACATTCCCACTTCCAGAATTATTAATATTGTGCTCAAAACGCACAAACTTCCAATATAAACTAAACAAGTCACTGGGCTCCCACTTCAGTGGGATACTTGTCTTTCTCTGACTGCCCAAGTACTTATTAATTACTGTCACTCTGCTCTGCAATACAGAGCAGATGACAGTAATTAATAACACTATCTGCTATATTGAAGGTTTTCTAGAAGAGTAGATCTAACAATTCTCATCACTAGAAAAAACATTGTAACTTTGTGTAGTGGTAGATGTACTAGATTAACTGTGGTGATGTTTTCACAATATATACAAATATCAAATTATTATGTTGTACATCTGAAACTAATATAGTGTTATATGTTAGTTATGTCTCAATAAAAATAGAAAATTAGTCCTAACTGGTTTGGCTCAGTGGATAGAGCGTCAGCACGCGGACTGAAGGGTCCCAGGTTGGATCCTGGTCAAGGCCATGTATCTGGGTTGTGGGCTCATCCCCAGTAGGGGGTGTGCAGGAGGCGCCGGATTGATATTTCTATCTCATCCATGTGTCTAGTTCTCTATCTCTCTCTTCCTCTTTGTAAAAAATCAATAACATATATTTAAAAAATAGAAATACAAAGCTGGAATTGTGTTCTCTTGCAGTTCTGAAGGCTAGAATTAGAGAGCCATCTCTCTCCTGGCTTTTGGTTGTTCCTGGCAGAGGCCAATGTCTGCCTCTGTTGTCACAGGGCCTTCTGCTCTGTGTCTGAGTTTTTCCTGTCTGCCACTGTGTCTGTTCTTACAAGGACAGCAGCCATATTGAACTATCATTCACTTGGTACAACTGCTATGGAAAACAGTGTGGAGTTTCCTCAAAAAAAAATTAAAAATGGAGCTGCCATTTGACCCAATGATTCCACTTCTAGGCATATATCCTAAGAAGCTGAAACACCAATCAGAATTAATATATTCACCCCTAAGTTCATAGCAGCCCAATTTACAATAGCTAAAATCTGGAAACAGCCCAAGTAGCTATTAGTAGTTGAATGGATTAAAAAACTGTGGTACAGCCGAAACCGGTTTGGCTCAGTGGTAGAGCGTCAGTCTGCAGACTGAAGGGTTCCAGGTTCGATTCTGGTCAAGGGCATGTACGTTGATTGCGGGCACATCCCTGGTAGGGGGTGTGCAAGAGGCAGCTGGTCGATGTTTCTCTCTCATCAATGTTTCTAGCTCTCTATCTCTCTCCCTTCCTCTCTGTAAAACATCAATAAAATATATTAAAAAAAAAACACAAAACAACAACAACAACAACAAAAAACTGCGGTACAGGTACATAATGAAATAGTAAGCAGCTCTAAAAAAGAAGAATCTCTCACCGTTAGAGACAGCATGCAGGGGCCTGGAGAGTATTACGCTAAATGAAATAAGCCAGTCAGAGAAAGGCAAGAATCATATGATCTCACTGATATGTGGAATCTAATGAACAAAACAAAGTGATGAATAAAATATATCCAGAGACATTGAACATGCAACAGAGTGACTTATTTCAGAGGAGGAAGGCAGGAAGAGATTAACCAAAGAACTTATATGCATATATGCATAGGCCATGGCAAGATAATAGTATAGGGAAGGCCTGGGGAGGGGTAGGAATGGGGTGGAGGTGATCAATGGGAGGGAAGGGGACATCTGTAATACTTTCAACAATGAGGATAAATTAAGAAAAACATTAAGTCCATGATCCAGACTTCCTGCCCCTGAGTCAGCTTGTCAGCATCTTGGACTAAGAGCTCCGTTGCTGCGATAATCCTTAGGCACGGGGGCCAGCTGGCAGCTACAGGGTCCAACTTCTTGGACAAATAAGCTACTGGGCGGCTCCAGGGGCCCAGGGTTTGAGTCAGTACCCCTTTCGCTATTCCTTTGGGTTCATCTACGAAGAGATGGAAGGGCTTTGCGATGTCTGGCAGGCCCAGAGCTGGAGCGCTTAGGAGGGCTTTCCTTAACTGCTCAAAGGCTGTCTTTTCTCTCTCAGTTCATTCAAATGCCTTTCCTTCCTTGGTTGCCTCGTATAGGGGCCTGGCAATCTCTGCGAACCCCGGTCCCAGAGGCGGCAGTACCCAGCCTATCCCAGGAATTCCCTTACTTCCCTTCATGAGGTGGGGGTTGGGATTTTCAAAACAGTCTCTTTTCTGGCATCTGATAGCCGCCGCTGCCCACCCTCCAGGATGTATCCCCGTAACTCACCCTTTCTTTGCATATCTGGGCCTTCTTCGCAGAGGCCCGATATCCAGGAGACCCAAGGAGGTCAGCAGGTCCCTTGTTCCCTCCTTGCAGTCCGCAGCAGTATCTGCTGCAATCAGGATGTCGTCCACATCCTGAAGGAGTGAGGTTGGGGTGTGTTCTCCGATACTCAGCCAAATCCTCGTGCAGGGCCTCATCGAAGATGGTGGGCGAGTTCTCGAACCCCTGAGGCAACCGGGTCCATGTCAGTTGGGTCCATGTCAGTTGTCCGCTCTAGTCCTCTTCCGGGTCATGCCACTCAAAGGTGAACAGGGGCTGACTTCGGAGTGCCAGCAGCAAACTGAAAAAGGCATCCTTCAAATCTAATTCAGTATACCAGACACGGGAGGGCGCCAGAGAACTTAGGAGAGTGTATGGGTTGGGGACCATTGGATGTATATCCATAATTCTTTTATTTATTTCCCGGAGGTCCTGTACTGGCCGGTAGTCATTTGTGTGGGGCTTCTTGACTGGCAGGAGGGGGTGTTCCCCCTGAAGCTGGCTTTGAAATCCTAGGTGAGGAGAAATGGTTATGGTGGAGGGTTTGCTGTGGTGGCCAAGGGTGGGAGCAGGGAACGGCAAGGGTTGTGTGTTGGTGCGCGTGGGTGGAGACCCTGCCCAGCACCCCTGTCCTGATAGCACCTCTGTTCCTGCTTCCCCACATGTGGGCTGGTGGAGGGAAGGAGGGTCCTGGGGTGGGAAAGTGTTGGGAGAGTGCGGGGTGTCGGTGGTTGAGTGGGTGTCAGCAGTCAGAGGAAAGATACCACGGGAGGGAGGGGCTAGTGGTGGGCGGGGCCAGGCTGCGCAGCTCTGATTGGCGGGAGGAGACAGCCGCCCAGGGGCGGGAAGGGAGACACTCAGACTGGCTGTCCACCTGCGCTCATTCACAGCCGCACTTTTTCGCCGGGCGCCTCCCGTCCACCTCTCCTGGTCACGAAAGCGCCTTTCCCGGCCTCTGCGCCTCACGCCGCCGCCGCCCGCCTGCCCGCTGGGAGCGCCCTCTGCCCGGAGCCGCCCGCCTGCCCGCCGGGATCGCCTCCGCCCGGAGCCGCCGGCCTGCCCGCCGGGAGCGCCCTCCGCCCGGAGCCGCCCGCCTGCCCGCCGGGAGCGCCCTCCGCCCGGAGCCGCCGGCCTGCCGCCGGGAGCGCCTCCGCCCGGAGCCGCCCTTCCCCCACCGGGAGCCCCCCTGTCCGCCTCGCAGCGCTCGTCGACGGAGCCGCCCGGCCTCCTCCCGCCTGCCCGCCTGTCCGCCTGTCCGGAGCTGAGCGCACCGACCGCGGCTGCTCCCATGGCGAGGACCCCGGGCCCCAAGTTTATCTTCATCCTCCTGCTGCTCGCGGTGCTGCTGGCCTGTGTGTGCGCGGCGCCCGGCGCCTCGGGGCGCGGAGGTGAGTCCCCAGGAATCTGAGCGGCGGGCGGGGGGGGGGGGCGCTGATAGGGGGCAGGGGGAGGGCGGGAGGGCGCTGATGGGGCAGGGGGAGGGCGGGAGGGCGCTGATGGGGGCAGGGGGAGAGGGCGGGAGGGCGCTGATGAGGGCGGCGGGAGGGCGCTGATGGGAGGCAGGGGGTGAGGGCGGGAGGGCGCTGATGGGGGTGGGGGCGGGGCGCGGAGAAAGGACGGGTGAGAGGCCCGGGAAAGAGGAAGCTGGGACTTTAAACTCGCGGGCAGGGCCCATGGCAGGTCCAGAACCTCTCCTCCTCAGTGCCCTCCAGGGGCTCATTTCCCTCCCACCTAGGCTTCCGGGCAGCATTGCCTTGGGGAAGGCGGTTGCGATTCCCAGTGCGCTGTCCCGCCGCTCCAGTCATGCTTCTGGGGAACTGGGACCCCTGCTGAGGTCACTGGCCTGGTTTTCCCCAGCCCAGCTCTGCAGGTTCTACCTCCCGCCCTCTGCCGCTGCCGGCCTGTGCCCCTCCTGCCCCCTGGGAGCAACTGCTGCCCTCACCAGCCCACCCAGGTCCATCACCCAGCTGTTGAGGGTCCCCAAACCAGTGCTTCCTATACCCTTTAATCCCTGACTGAGCCTAATCACTTCTCCACTAAGTGGCGCTTTATCCCTTTTGCCTGAGGACACACAGAGGACTTATCTGGAGATGTGGTTTCCTGGCAGGCAGAGGCCTCCTGGTCCTCCTCAAGCAAGGGAGGGGCCCCAACCTTCCCCTGGAGAAGGGAAGCTCTGGGCAGGGTCAGGCCTCGCTCTGCCAGCCCGGCCATCAGGCCTCGCTCTGCCAGCCCGGGGATTGTCTTGCTGTCACAGAGATGGGGGAGTGGTGTTTTGGGTCTTTTTCTTCCAACCCCAGTCCTCAGCAGCATTTTTCCTTCACAGATTCTCCCTCTCTTCACTATGATTTCAACATTTCTTCCGATAAACAACCATGGTGTATGGTCCAAGGAAAGATGGATGAAGAGAAGTATCTTTTATATGACTGTGGCAACAATAAGGTCATATCTATGAATCTCCTGAGAGAGGAGGGAAAGGCCATTCATTCCTGTGAAGGAGAGTTAGGAACCCTGAGCAACATGGGAAATGAATTAAAACCATTACTGGCTGACATTAAACGTGAGAAATATGCAGATGGAGGTAAGTTTGAAAAATTCAAGGGTAGAAGCTAGCAGATAGTGGGGCTAGCTGTATGGATTGTGTTCATTTAAAAAGAAAACTGGTTGGTGGGCCTTCCCACTTAGCCCAGCAGTAAGGCGAGGGAGAGCAGGGTAGGGTTAGAAGTGTTCAGAAGAGATGGACACCGGGTGGACAAAGCATTTGTCAAGACCAGAGGCTGATGTCTTTCCCATGGGGCTGTGGGGCAGCTCCTCTCACCCTGCAGGTCAGGATGACGTGCCATGGAAGCACCAGTGGGTCCTTGGAGTTTTCCTTGGGTGGACAGAGACTCCTTACCTTTCACTCTGAGACTGAAGAATATAAAGCGGATGATTCTGAAGGTGAACAGTTGAAGAAGAAGTGGGAGAAATATGAGGATTTGAGCAAAGACTTCAAAATGACCTTAAAGGGAGACTGCAAGGAATTGTATAAATGCTGGATACACAGGAAGACAGAGCTGGAGACATCAGGTAACAGGGGAGACAGGGAAGGTGTTGTTTTCTTGAGATAAGCTAGACCTACGTTTGTGAGCATGTGGGTGTGGCAGTGTGTATGTGTGTTTGTGTGTTTGTGTGTGTGTCTGCCTGTAAGCGTGTGTGTGAATGTGTGTGAGTGTGTTTGAAAAGTGACTAGTCTGCGGTGAGTTCTTGGGAGAGTAATGGCCATGGGTGTGTTCTACCGTCTCTTCTTTCCTTTCTCATCTCCTCAGGAGTCTGTTTTCAGACCTGTTCTTTACTGTTCCCTCTTCTCGGCATCACTTTTCTTCTTCATCTCACCTGGCCTATTTCTGGAAATCCTTCAATATGACCTCATATCAGCTCCTGGGAAGACTTCTCTCCCACCTTCCTCGTGAGTGTCCTTCTCCTCTGTCACAGCAGGAGTGCCTGGGTATATTGTAACCCTTGCTTCCCCCATTAGCTCTATGAGTCCCTTTGAGACAGGGCCCATCTCCATTCCTTGTTCCAACCCCAGATATGTCACAGTGGCTGTCACACGTAGAGGGTAGAAACTGTCTGTATCATAGCATTACCTGGGACATCAGGAGCTGAGGAAGTGTCTCCTCAGGATTGAGTACTGCATTGGATGTCCCTCTTGTGTTTTTATTGCAGCTGCACCGACCACAGTCCCGGCCCCAGTCACAACCATACCTACCATAGCCTCAGCTGCACCAACCAAGACCACAGATGGGTTGGAGACCTGGGCCATCATTCTCAATGTATTTGTGATTTTCATCACCCTGATCATCATTTGAATCATCTATTACATTTATAGGAAAAGGTAAAGAGGGCAGAATTGAGTGGGAAATGAGGGCCAGGTGGCCTGGAATGAGGGGCAGGGAAAGGTGAATTCCCAGCCTATCCCTGCCCCCTCACTGATCCTTCTCTTTGTGAAAATTAGCCTAGGGAACTAACATGTAATATAGCTTGATAGCAATAACTTGGACAAGCTCAGCTCTGAGTTCTGCTATCTTCTGTCAAAGCAGTGGGAAAAGAAGGGTCCCCTACCAAGGCTTAACCCCTGTGGATGCTAAAGAGGTTTAGTGATTTCAGTTCTCACCCACATTCCTTGTTTGGGAGATGTGTTTGGGGCCGGTGTGTGTGGTGTGGGAACAGCAGGCACACAGGACATGGGAAGTACTCCCATTCAGGTGAGAGCAGTATGATGGGTCCATGTGATGTGTCCAGGGAAAGGGAGTATCCAATAGGCTAAGAGGAAAGAGGTCAGGTCAAGGTCAAGGCCTTCCACCAGGAGGAGAGGTGGAAGGCCTTGCAGAACTAATTCTAAATGCTGGAGTTTGCATCTGCCTTCCCAGAAAGTGGCTTTGGAGACATCAAGTAAGACAGATGGCCAGCAGTATGTACTGTGCAGGAAAAGTTAGATGGAAGCCATTTTTTTTTCTGGAACCCCCTGAGAATCCTGGGTGAGCCCTGATTCAATCACCTGGCAGCCAGCTTCCTCCACACTCTAAATCCTGAGTAACTGTGTGCCTCCTGCCTTAAGCTCAGGTGACTCCAGGAATAGGTGTAGCTGAGCTGCTGGTGGAGTTGGATGCTGACTGGTGACTGGAGCAGTAATCCATGGGGCAGGACAGGGACACTCACTCTCAGAGCTGTGAGCTGTTACCAGGGTGAGGAGAGGAAGCCAACCAAGGATCATTCCACAACCACTACCGTTCCCTGGTAGAGGAACCAGGATGCAGGCCTCTCTCTCTTTGGACAAGGTTCTTCTGGGCTTTTTTAAAATCAAAATTTCAGTAGGGGGAGCATCACAGTTCCTTTGCACCTTGAGTCCTGAGCCCCACCTGTCTTTGGATCTGACTTGCTTTGTGATAAAGGTGGTAGGATGTGGGTACAAGCTTTAGGGCCTAGGGTGCTGGTGAGAGCTGATGGGAAATACTGACTCTCAGTGAGTGTGGGGCTCTGAGCTGGAAGGATTTGGGGTAGGTAGCCCCAGGGGAACTGACCCAGGATTTTCTCAGCCCCTGAGACAAACATGTGTTTCTTTTCAGGTGGCAAAGATGCTGCTCAATATCTCCTGGATGTGTGGTGTAGTTCAACATGTGTCCCTGCTGCTTGGCTACCTTTCCACCTCCAGCTGTGCACCTGTTGGCCCCCACGAGCTACAGCAAATGCAGAGACCTGCAGGAGGTCAAGAGGAATCAGCAGATGCTATGTTCATGTCCTAAATTCCATGAGAAGTTTGGCAACTCTGCACAGTTTTCAACATTTGGTTCCATTTTCTCTTGGTGTCAATTGTTATAATTCTTGCAGCTAGCTCTCTAACTGCTTGAAAAAGAAATCTAGCCAGAGAGAACACTTTCCAGTCTCCCCTTGGGTTGTGGAAAATGAGATAGATCTCTGCATCAGGACCTCATTGTAGCAAATGAACAAGATACCATGTGATACTTCAGGCTTTGCAGATCAGAAGTCTGTTGCAACCACTCAGCTCTGCTGTGTAGCATGAAAGCAGTGATAGACAATACTTGACCAACCTTTGGGCTGATGCTCTAAACACTGAGTCAAAGCAGCCAGGGCCTCACCACCTTTTAAAGGGAAAATGATATTTATGATGGTTACCTTTAGAAAGTTTTATACTATGTAATGCTATTTAATGTTATATCTCTCTATGAAATAATACTATAACAATACAATTACTTAGGGATTTTGTTTTATGACACACAGTATTTAAGGTGATTATTGTTTGTTCGAATAATGCTGTAAATAAAATCAGTGGTTCTGATAAATTACTATGGAAACAGAATTTACCATCTTTGTCATGTCATGGAATAAAAAAAATCATATGGATTCTAAGGTACGAGGATTTATCTGCTATTACCGCACACTCCACTCCCTGCAGTGACTTTCCTGTGATTCTGTTCCTGCAGACTCACCTCCTTCAGTGGCTGAAACATCTCTACTTTAAAAAAATATATTTTATTCATTTGTACAGAGAGGAAGGGAGATGGAGAGTTAGAAACATTCTTGAGAGGGAAACATTGATCAGCTTCTTCCCACTGGGGATTGAGCCCGCATCCAAGGTACATGCCCTTTGCAGGAAGCCAATTCCAGCACTCAGCAGGGCTGAATCACCTGAGATGGCTAAAAAGCATCTCCCCAAAACCTCAGTAGGACATTTCCCCAAACCTGAATAAGATAATCATTTGCTTCCAGATAGCTCAGGGCATTTTAATGCCTCCTGTATAGCTGTAGATTATTCCTCAAACTGAGAATGCTTCTGTAAAACTACCCCTTGAAACTGTACCCTTTGAAGTATGTCTCCATATTGCCTTAGGACAAATTGTGTTAATAAATAGCATGGGGGTCCTTCGACAAGGGGTTAGTCTTTAGCTGCTTTTAGCTGAAGCTCCTCTGACCCCCCAATGCCTTTCAAAATTATCTTTCTTTTTTGGACTCCTTCTGAATCTATGAATCAACTCCTTTCTCCAGAATGCTGAACCCTTTGTTCGGCTGGGACAAGAACCCCTGGCAGCTCTTGACCAGAATTGAACCAGGACCCTTCAGTCCACAGGCTGACGCTCTATTCACTTGACCAAACTGGTTAGAGTGGAAACATCTCTACTTCTCAAAGCTGTTTAATCCCCTCATAACAAAGAATTAGCATCAAGGACACACAAAAAACTACAAATAAGTTAGATCTCATCAAATTGTTCAAAGATGTAGGAGAAAGGTGGTGAGGAGTCCAAGGAAAATAAAATTTAAAAGACAATAATCTGGCTATTTTATTGGATTTGCTTTGCATTTTTGGATGAGGGGGTGTCTTCAGTCTCACAGAACGTTTGATTCTGGTGTTTCCCTCTTGGCATGAGATGCAGGTAATTTTTATTTGATTTCCTTTTGGATCTTTGTATCATGAGGTACATTATTATTGATTATTGTCCATATCAGTCTATTTCCTCTGTGATCTTGTATTTTTAAGGACAGCACGATTCCCTGTCAAGTTTCATTTTTTTGTGAAGACAAAACTAATGCGTAAGGCAAAGACCCCACGGGTCTTCAGAACTCCCAGTGATAGGTTCTGTGAAACACCCATGCAGATATGGAGTTGGGGGTACGTGGGGGAGTGGTATAAATGAGGAGAATTGGCCGATGGATCTTCAGACTTCACAAAACTGTCAATCTGCAACAATCTCAGTTGGAGATCTCAAGAGCATGAGAAAAAATGAAAGTCGTGTGTACACACACACACACACACACACACACACACACACGAGGGGACAGACCTGGACCCTATCTGCTAACCGCTTCATCCCAGGAGTCAGACAGAGATCAGGGTCGGGTCTAAGCGCCAGGTACGTGGGCAGGAATCGCCTCTGGTTAAACTCCCAGGGCAAATGCGTTTTCTGAAAAGCCTCTGGATGAGTGAAGGCTGGACTGGGCTGTTCAGGAGCCAGGGCGTGGCGGGACCCCAGGAAGCCTATGTTGTGTGTAGAGCAGCGAGGGGTGGGGAGCGGAAGTTGGTGG